TCTCCTCCCCCTTAGCTCACCTCTTTTGATCAATTTAGTAAGTACCAATAGTTTTACTTTTTTCAACCAGTTAATGCCATACTGCCTGGTCCCCCTTCCACTTAGTCATGTAGTCCCTGTGCTTAATTCACTTCTCTCATAGCCTATATGGATAAGGATGGAACAGCAGATCACTGTTGGGTTCATCTCTGTGCTCTCTCTCATCCAATCAGCAAGATTTATTTGAGAGTATTTCACAAGATTGTAAAGCCTGCTGCCATTTTCACATACAGCTTGCATGCACAGAGGACTATAAAACTAATTAAAAACACAGTAATGCAAAACCTAAAAACTTCAATCAATCATATGTCTGTCTTTCCCAATGAAAGAATAAACAGCAAATTAAAGCCTAACTCCAGGCTCCCCCTTTTGTTCCCCAACTATTCTCCCCTCCACTTCTCGATGGCCCTCCAGTTGTATTTTATACTTTTAATTTATTTTATGCCTTTTCTAGATGTATGTAGGTTGGTCAAATGATGTGCTGGGTCCTCTTCACATCTTGTCCAACACTGGGTGATCTTCAAGGATGCTTGGAACGTCACTGATGTCATCATTACACTGTGAGTGCAGGAACCAGAGTGGTGCCCCCCCAGGGGCAGGTCTATGAGTCCCTGCACGTACAGAAAGCTCTCAGTCTTCCAGGTGTCATGATGTTATACCTTTCAACCTGGCAGTTTAAGAAATATGGTAAGGGACAGAGAGAAAGTGAATATTGCAGCAAACGTTTCTTAGACAAGTTACCAAAAAAAACATTGCCTAGAGTTGAGAGTTGAGCTGCACATATTCACCTTCATTTTGCTCCTCCACTACTTCATTGGATATTTCTTTTCACCAAGTGAAGAAAAATAACTAGTACTTCCATGCAGACACCCAGCACTGTCACTTGTGGTTGCAAGAATATGCTTTCTCCCTGCGTAAGTACTAAAGCTGGCCATTCAGTGATCAAAATTTGTCCGGTTCACCAGGGACCGATTGAATTTCGATCATTGTATGGTCATCCATGCTTGACAGAAGTTCAGTAAACTTTTCGCTTTGCATAGCATAGCCAATGCGCACAACACTTTGAATAAATAGCTTTTCTAAGCTTACACTTTTAAATATCAGCCCTTTTTATTTTAAATGTAGTCATTGGATTAAAGTTCTCTGTCACATGCCATGCTGGTGTTCAGCGCATAACAGCAACAAAAGCTTCTCTGTGACATGAACCTTCCAACGTCTTATGGGCTCAGTTAGCCTTGGGCACAAGCATCCTCATGTACAATAGATTCAGTGCTAACATATTACTATGAATAAGATGTCATTTCCATGGTGACGTTGCTACTTTATGACATCACACAGCTACAGTTGTGAAGTCACTTCAATGTACATCACTTCTTAAATCTTACCAGGACCAGTTTATATTTCTCACAGTTTGGACTCTTGCATATGGGCAATTTAGCATGTTCATCGCAAATGCTGGCATCTTTCTGGGATACAGTATCTTTCTACTCCTTTTTCAGTCTTAGTCTTTCACCAGCACACTGCAACGAACATTTATCTTAATAGAGTACATGAAAAAGAAGGATCCTCTTGTATTGTTGCTGCAGGTGTGCAGACTGGGAAATCCATGCGCCTACCTGGGAACCCCAAATCTCACTTCTGTAGTCCTCGCGGTATTTGCTGGCATCTTGTTTTGTTCTCCAGAGCAATCAAAATGCGTGGACTAGTTGTTTTATGGTGGAACTATAAACAAAAAAACTTACCTTGGTTCCAATGGTATGATGTCTGTGAAGTCCCCAGCTTGCCAGCAAATGCTTCTTTTAACTTCTGACACCTTTCTGCCTAAAATATGTACCCTGTTCAGTGCATTAAAGGGGCACCACCCAAGTCAAGTGCCACATAGAGGGATAGTACTTGTCCTTTCTTCTTCCTTTCCTTGCATTAATCCTTTGAGGCACTATCACCTTAATCTCTTCCTACTTGTGCACCAACTGGGCCCCAATGAGTGCGAAGAAGATTCCCCACTGCACTTAAAGGGACATTGACTACCCTAGCTAAAGAGCTCTTTCTTATCTCAGATTAAAACCTTGCCATCAGATTCTGAGGGCCCAAAGTGAACTAGTTCAACCTTTGATAGTTTCCTTGCTCACTGGGGACTAGGAACACCTCAGGTTGAAGGTATTGGGTTAACTTCTAAAAAACAGGTCTGCCAACACTGATTGAGATTCTACTGTATGTATCGTTTCAGGGGGCCTGAAAATAATTCAGCGACTCCTAAAGGGGTAGTGCTACAAGTGCTACAAATATTTTTTTTGAAATATATTCTTTATGGTATGTGTTTTTTCAACAAAATAAAATGGTTTAGTTTTATGCTTGAGGCCTCATTCACATTTTGCATAGCGGGAACGCACATTCCTGCTTGGGATGATTTACACGCGTTGTGCGTGTCGCACATGGGGCAGAAAGGATGGGACAAAGAAGTTCCTGCACACTTTTGGGCAACGGGCTATGTGTGATTTTTTCACGTGCATTTTGCGGTGATTTCGGCACGGCAAAAAAAGACCGCATTAGGAAATGAACGGCACCCAAACGTGTTGCATATTTTGCAGCAATTTGGAGTCGCATTCCAAATCCCTAGATGTGAATGTGGCCTTATATATTTGAATTGGATGATAAGAGGTATGCATTGCCACAGGTTCTAAGCCCAATATTTTTTCATTTTTATTAGGGGAGTATTGCTCTGCTCTACATCCCCTCTAGACTGAAGGATCATTTAACCCTTATGAAGAAGTGCACAATTCCTATATTTATAGGATGACCAGAGATCAAGATAAAAAATAACTCTGAGGCTAAAGCAACAATAACTCCCCAATATCGGCCAAAAATTGAAACATCGGTTTAAGGTGGACTGACCCTTTAACAGCAAACCATGAACTTTTGCATCTGTTGCCCAGAAGCTTCTGGTTATGACAGTGCATTGTATCACACGTTTTGACAGGAAATTCCAAAGATTGACTACTCTTACTGTAAAGCAGCACTTGAAATTATTCTGCTTCTTTTGCCTCCCGCTTGTGAGCTGGAATTCATCTCTTTGTGAAATATACATCCTTCCTGTAAATCTTTTGGTTTTACAAAAGTAAAATATCATTATAAAGCAGTGTCACCCTCCCCTCTCTTTACATATATACACAGAGGCTGTGAAGGTAAGTTCTGCGTTTAGAAAAGGAACTGTTTTATGGATCTAAAGAACAGCAAAATAATAAAGGGATGGGGTATTAGAATTAAAATAGATCCCAATATAATGAATGGAAGGGGAGAAATAAAATGTTAATGGTAGAGAAAGACAAACAGAGCTAGAAACTGATAATAGATGACAGAGAAAGAATATGCTCATTTATTTTTGTAATTAAGTAAGACAAGATTCTGCAAAGATGAAAGGAAGGGACACAAGATTCTAAAATGGCAAGAGTTCTGATGTCTATGTGAAATGCTGACAGCGAAACTCCAGGAATTATATTTTTTGCAGACTTAAATTGGGTCAGCTTGGCTCAATGTTAGTATTCATCTGGTCTCCGATATGCAGAGGGCTGCTGGGGGTTGCTGAAAACTAGTAGTAGTCTGCATTACATGCAGTGACAGCTGTGATTTTCCAGGTGCTGTCCCAGCGGCTTCCCTTCTAAACTCTGAACAGAGTGATAGTCCTTATTCCCAGCGCTAGAATATCCACACGTGCAAAGTTCCTTAACCCCTTAACACCGGCCCCTTCTGGCCCTTTAAGGGGTTTCTGATGCCAGGAAGCGGGGCGGGGGTTTTATGATCATGTGGCTGTCACAGCAGTCACATGATCACAGCTTTCCGTTCGGTGCCAGGAGCATGCAGGGTGCGCTGTCTCAGCACAGGTGTTTTTTTACATTTTAGTACTGCCTCTCAGCGTCAAGACCCACCAAGAGGCTGCATATATGCATACTGTTGGCGTGAAGGAGTTGATCAACAGTCCTCTTCAAGTGATCTTTTCACCAATATCCTAAATCAGGGGTGTCAAACTGGTGGCCCTCCAGCTGTTGCCAAACTACAAGTCCCATCATGCCTCTGCCTTTGGGAGTCATGCTTGTAACTGTCAATCTTGCAATGCCTCATGGGACTTGTAGTTTGGCAACAGTTGGAGCATCCTAAATGCTCAGGTAGTAAGACCCCTCATGTATAATTGGTCAAATCTCTGAACACGGAGTTGTTCACTTGGTTTTGCTGCCATTCAGGGAAAGCCTTGACTTTTTTTGTCAGTGATTAAAAGGCATTCTCTGATTGGATGAGGTGGAAAGGAGGGGTGGATGACGTCAGGATGCCCACCTTGTCCAATCAGAGAATGTCTTGTATGCATTGATAAAAATACAAGGCTTTATCTTAACCTCCCTAGCGGTCTAATTATGTCCATATTTCTGTGCTCAAAGCGGTATATTTTTTTGCATGGAAATGTGTAGTTTTTTATTGTAGGCCTGTAATTCTCATTGTAACTCAGTAATTGTAACTCAGTAATAACTCACTGAAATGTGTCCGAACAAGAGTCTAGTAAACATCCCGGGTATGTTAAAATTTGAAACACGAAAATCATAAATTATAATTTAATAAATAATCATAAAAAATAATAACATAATAATATAATAATATATGATTATAGTATAATAATAATACATTTAATTCAATAATATAATCAAACCAAAAACACTGAAATTTGAAATATAAGTTCGCACATCACTGAGCAAAGTCGCAAAATCATTTTCAGTGTCTGATGACAAATTTCCCCACAAATCATTATCACTCAATTCTGCAAGTGGTTCTGATTTACTATCGCTGTTCTCTGGCTGGTCTAAAACCGCTTTTGACCTAAAGGGACGCTTTTTGGACGCCATGGAAGTTTCTCAGTTTCCAGGCAGAAAGAACAGTAAAAATGCAGGCAGGGCACAGGACAAAGCACTCGGGACAAAATGTGTGTGAAATGGTTTGATACAGTAATGTTTTACTATGTGATTTTAGTCACTTTTTGTCATTTTCAAATTTCCCGCCGTTCCATCCTCCGTACGTCCTGATGTCGCAGGGAACGGAACCCAGATGACAGATGCCGGCATCCGCCGGAGGACATTGCCAGGGACACTGCAGGAGGGACATCGCAGGAGCGTAGGGCAAGGTAAGAGAAGAACAGATCCCGGAGCAGCGCTGCATGGTAAGCCCGAGTGTAGCTCGGGGTTACCGCTTGTGGTACTGAAACTTTACCCCGAGCTACACTCGGGAATACCACCAGGGAGGCTACTAGCCGTAGTGCCAAGTGGGCAACTCCCTGTGACCTATCACTGTATGTAGTGCGGACTGATTTCCAGTATCTCCAGTGGCCCCCTAGATATCAGGTATGGATACTTACTTCGAGCCAAGATGACCCTAAGCTTGAAAAAGGGGTTCAATAAAGGGCTTCAATATAGGGGTTGATTTATAAAACTGGAGGGTGAAAACTCTGGTCCAGCTCTGCATAGAAACCAATCACTTTCCAGGTTTTATTGTCACAGCTTAATTGAACAAGCTGAAGTTAAAGCTGATTGGCTGTCATACACAGCTGCACCAGATTTTGCACTCTTAAGTTTTAGTAAATCTCCCCCATAGTGCCTGGAGTTCCACCTTTACTGCAAATGAGAAAACACATTGGAATTGGGTCTATGCACTGCTGTGACTTTCTTAACAACTTTAAGCCAGCCAGAGTAGGTATAGTATAGCCTGAACTTCTACATGAACTAATGGAATGCCATACTTACCTTTTTAGGCACCGGGGGCTTTTAGTGCCAAAATCACAAAGTCCTTCATCGACATCGCACAGCTCTGACATCTGTCCACCAGAGTTAATGTAGTGATGCCAACTACAACACCCTTTAAACTGCCACTAATGTTCCATTATACGATGCTGATAGTAGGTAGGACTTTGCATTTTTGAAGTTTCTCCTTTTCTTTTCTCCCTCTTCCCCAACTGCAAGCCCTGAGTTTATTCACAATGGTGGCTTCTTGGCTTGTAGGGTCCTATGGAGCCCCACTGGAGACTTAGTGCTCACTTAGTGTGTGATGTAGCTGCCGGCAGGGCCGGTGCTATCACTAGGCAGCTACCTAGGAAGCACTGCTGTCCAGGGCGCAGCCACGGCCGCTGGTTTCCCTACACTCCACCATGGCTGGTTATAGGGGGGTGCTGGGGTGGAGCTTACAGGCCAGGGGAACTGTACACAATGAAAGGGGGGGAGGAGGGGGTAACAATAATTTGTGCTGAGATGAGTGGTTTGTGCAGGAGGGGGATGGGGGCTATTTGTGCTGGGACGGGTAATGGGGATGATGGTGGGGGTGATTTGTGCTAGGAGAAGGAATAGGAGAATATGTGCTAGGAGTAGGAAGGAGGCTTTTTTGGGGGGGGGATTTTTACTAAAAGGGGGGGATTTGGGTAAGATTGAGGGTTTTATGCTAGAAAGGGTAATTTGGATGGATTTAGGCTAGAGGAGGGATTTGGGGGAATTTTTCCTAGGTGGGGGGATTGAAGGGAGAGGACTGGTGCTGGGAGAGCGGATTAAGGGAATTTGTGCTAGGATGGTGGATTTGGAGGGGTTGTGCTAGGAGGGGGGATTTGGGGGAATTTTTCCTAGGTGGGGGGATTTGAAGGGAGAGGACTGGTGCTGGAGAGGAGGATTGAGGGGAATTCGTGCTAGGATGGGGGATTTGGAGGAGTTGTGCTAGGAGGGGGGATTTGGGGGAATTTTTCCTAGGTGGGGGGATTGAAGGGAGAGGACTGGTGCTGGAGGGAGGATTGAGGGGAATTCGTGCTAGGAGGGGGATTTGGATGGGTTATGCTAGGTGGGGGGGATTTGGGTGATGAGGAAGGATTTGTGCTAGGAAGGGTCATGGGGGGGGGGCTGTACTAGGAGGATTTAGGGGGATTTGTGCTAGAAGGCAGGATGGGGGAGAGAGAGGATTTGTGCAAGGAGAGGTGAAGTAGAACTACAGGTGAAGTTTTATTTTTTTTGGGGTGGTGGGAGGGTGCAAGTAGCTGGTCTTGCCTAGGGCACAAAATAGTCTAGCACCAGCTCTGGCTGCCGCTGCTGGACATGGTCAGGCAGTCCAGAGGAATAGAAGGCAATGACACCAGGACTGGGCAGGCATGAGCGATGGTGCAAGGAATGATGGGACATGAGGTCCTGAGGAGGGAGATCAGAAACTTTTGTTTACAATAAGAGCGTACGCCCCCCCCCCCCAAATGGAATCTGAGAAAAGCCGCATGGAGGAAACTGTAGGCTGTGAACTGAGAAAGGGAATAAAATGTATTTAGTGGCATAGTTGTACATAATAATTACCACACTTTTATTTAACACTAACATCCTACATGATCGACCAGAATATTCATCATAACATATATTCCTGGATGTGACATTATGACTAACACATTTAGACTGTAAACCCTCACCCCCATTCAGGATAAAGTGTTAACAGAAGTAATATGGTAGCATCATGGGCTCATGAATGACACATTTATTCCGGTGAACATACAAAAGAACAATTGAATTAATCTGAATCACATTATTTCTAAAGAACCCGTGTCAGTTGTGAAATACCTAAATTAAGATTTCACACAGCCTGCCGTGATAAACCTCTCTGTTTGAAAGCAGAAGTGATTGCTCTGTGGAAAAGAAACGGTGACTTCTGCACAATCCTAATATTTTGCTAGTATGGCTGATTGTATAGGGGGTCCTCAATGTAGACATTCAATTCCACCAACCTAAATTGGAAATTAGAGGATGCCAATATACTAAGCTGCATTGTGACTACTTACATACCTGTGGTGCCTCAAGAAGTACATCCTTTCTTTAAAGCATTATTAAACCCAAAACCAAAAATGTATTTTATTGCAATTTACCAATTATTAGGTGTGGTGGCTGCATTAGTTATCTTTTCTTAGGCTTCTTCCCTCTGTTTTCACCTGCTGATCCTGCCAGTAACACACCTCCTGTATTAGAGTGCCTCCACTCTGGCTGAAGGAGCATAGGGGGCATAGCAGACAGTAGCATTGTTAGTCTGGGAGGAGGGGAGTGTTAGATGTACTACCATTTGAAAACTGTAACAAATTGAAGCCAAACCACAGCTGACACTTTATAATCAGTTACAGCAAACATATTTATTTCCTTTTGGGATAAAAAAAATATCCTTTTAATCACCCCTGCCAGCGGTAAATTGATTGCCTCATTCATGTAAACTGATGCATTCTGCTGGAGAGCTTGTGCTTTTGAAAAACAACAGACTTGCTGGCTGGATCACCAAATGAAAATTGAAGAAAGAAATCCTTAAAGCGGAACTATACTCAGCTTTAAACCCGCGATGCACTGTCCTGGAACTCCCTGTCTGGCCGCTAACCTCTTCGGGCGGCCGACTTCCAGGTCCCAAATGCCGTCTGCTGTCATTGGCCAGGCGGGGATGACGTCACTCCTGCGCGGCTCACTGTACACGGGGAGAACAGGCCGATGGTAGCTTTAATGCACATGAGACAAAGCATGTCTCTTCTGCATTAGCAATCTTGCCTGTTCCCCCACTTTGAATTTTGTACCTAAAGTTCTGCTTTAACAAGGAAACTAATGCAGTCATTACATATAAGATATGGTAAGCTGAAATATAATAAATGTTTGCTTTTTGGTTTAATACTGCTTCAAAGCTCAAGTGTTATCCTCTCTCGCAGTCTCAATATTAGACTGTTGGTGCCTATAGAATTCCATAGGTAGTTGGATAAGTAAGAATTTCCCAACTACTTGTTATAGATATGAACTTTCTATTCTACCAAAATTCATTTATGGAGATTGGCAGATTTTCTAACCTGCTCTATCGCTATTGACTGCACCCCCAAATAGGAGCTTGCCGGCGTAGTCTGGGGTCTTACTGGACTGGGTGACCACCATCTCATATCCTTGGCTTGGTTCACATTACTGCATGCTGTTTAACAAATAGCATCAATGTAAGTGAGTAGTAAATGTAAATGAAATTAGTCTTAATGGTCTTAATTAGTCTTAGCTACAAAACTGAAAAAACTCTAGGATGCATTGTTTTAATCAATGCTAGTGGGAATAGAGGCAGTGCCTGACTGAGTAACAATTAGTTTACCCTAGTGTTAGTCATCTGAAGAGTGATCCGTGATGGTAAGCTTTTCAGAGGGAATTTTACAGGCAGTGAGGAAGCGTTATGTACCCTCCTCACCACCTCTTTTAACCCTGAAAAGCCCGGACCACTGCCTCGTGTGATTGTGAGGAGGCTGCGGTGCATCCCATTCAGTTGAATGGGTTGCTTTAGGTGGGTGGCAACTTCCCACCAAACACAACAGGGGGTTTAATTCTTGCACAAAGCAAAGCATTGCAGCTGTGGCATGTGTACACCCCCATCCGCTGCCTTTCCAGATTAAGGAGGAGTAATTGGGGGGCAGTAAACTGCTCACCTGCTAGTTTTTACAGCCCCCCAACTCCAATTGGGAGCCATAATAGAGTTTAAATCAGCTGTAGTTTGTGGGGCAAGATGGGCCAAAACATTTCCTCCCCTCGAAAGGATGGCTATAGCATTGGGCGCTTATAAGGAATTTTTCTTTTAATATATGTGATATATATACTATAGGTGCATTATTGCTGGCAATGTTTGTTACCTATAAATTACACTTTATTGGATGAAGCTCTGTAATAGTCACCTTCCCGTTGCAAAAAGAAGGAACATTTAGCTGAAAATAATGCTCATGACAACAAATTAACATCACTGAGTCATTAAATCATTGCTCTTTATCTTTACATTTTAAAAGGGAACATCTGACCTGTACATTGATCCCTACTGCTGAAGAGGAGATAGGAATTAATTATGCAGTGTGGTGTGTTCATTATCAGTGCCTGCATAAATACTCAGCGCTAATAAACAGCAGAGCATGTTTACAGTCTGTAGATACTCTCAGCACATTGTTCATCATCAGCACAAGGATTTAATACCACAATTTAAGCCATGATGCAGTGTGATCGGATCAAAATCGTATATCCACCAAGCTGGGTGGCGTTCTGACTCGCTGCGGTAGCAGGCTGTATGCTAGTGCGTATACGCAACTTTCTATCATACAGAATAATGGAAAACCTGTACTTTGCCAGCTGGTCCTGGCCTTCCCACTTGCTGGGCCACACTGGACTACACTCATTATGATGCAGAGGGTTCAAGCAGAGTGATGCTGTACTAAGTAGCCTGGGAGAAGGCCGTAATATTGTGATCAAGTTTTTTTT